CAAACATATATATACACATATAACACATATATATATAGACGTACATATACATATACATATATATATGTACATATATATACATATATACATACTGTATATATAGGCCTATATATAAATATATATGTATATATACCGTATAATATATATATATATATATACATATATGTAATAATAATTAATATATTAATTATTTTGAATTTCATTTATGTTAAGCTAAAAACATAGCTTAACATAAATGAAATTCGAAATAATTACTACAATTAAGCTAAATCAATTAATATATTAGCTGTCCAACATATTGTCGTCGGCATGTTTTAATCATCATTATGTAGTTTTGAGTTTCACTTTACAGAATTTCGAATTTCATGGGGGAAAAATGTCCTATACACGCTTTTATAGTAGCAAATGTTTTGGGGCTATACGATTTTTTACTGTAGGGCCTGAGTACTGGTACTAAGTAACGTATACACTGACGAGAAGATTTTGATCAAATTGCTCCCTCTAGAGTTTATAGACTTTCTCCGACGATCTTTGCTAGTATTATCGTCAACTTTCAATATTAAAACAACACAGAGAGTAGGCGTCCGTATGCCTATGGTAAGTTTGATATAATCATCAATCGTCTTTAAATGAATGTTTTCTTCAAAAATATATCTACATAATCATAGTTAAAACATGTTTAATTGGCTAGGTCTAGCCCAGGTAGCATAATAGTAGTAGTAGGCATGTTGTCTGATGTATAGACGACAAGGCCTAGCTAAAAAAGGCCTTAATTTTATGTGGGTAGGCCCAAGCATAGGCCTAGTACTCATCTACACGGGATAGGCCCTAGGATAGGTCGGACGTAGGCCTACTAATGGTATTGCTACCTAGGCCTAGGCTGTCGGCTACGCGATGGATGATAGGTGGTCCTAGACCAGACAAAGTAGCATATTCAATTTGAAGAACAGGGGCGGATTGCTATAAGCGGTCTTTAGACTGTCTTTGGTTAGCTGGCTAGGCCCTGTATAATCGTGACGTCACTATACTGGGGCTGATTGCTACACTATAAGTGGTCTTTAGACTGTCTTAACGGTTAGCCGGCTATAATCATGACGTCACTACTGTTCTATGATTATAGACCATTGCTATACCGCGGTCTAACCAGTTAGCCATCTTAAATTTTAAAGCCTACTCGGAGGAGGCTTCAAACGGTCTTAAATCATTTTCATCATGCCGTTCTGCTGCTTAATTCAACAGTGCAATAATTAATGGCAAAACCAAGGCCTAGATTGTCAAAGTCGGACAATCGAACGACGAATACTCCGCACACTCAAAAGTGTGCGGAGTATTTCTAAAAATAGGTCTACTGCGTTTATTTACATTCATTTCGATACATTTGCGTACGTTGAGCATGCATGACGTCGCCCTCAATCTTACATTACCAGGGAGTGCTTATTTGCTTTTCAATACTCAAAGCGGTCTTAGGGAAGACTGTTTTATAGCAATGGTCTTACGGGAATGACTTTAGTAAGACCGTCTAAGTGATAAAGCCAGCTTTATTTGAGGAGTTAAGACTACCAGTTAAGACCGTTTTATAGCAATCCGCCTCTGCTGATTAATTCAACAGTGCAATGGCAAGACCTAGGCCTAGATCATCAAATTAGGAAAATTGAATGATGACTATTCCGCAATCTTCTCAGCGTCTGTAAAAATAGGTGTACATTCATTCATTTCGATACATTTGCGTGCGTCAAGCATGCATGATGTCACCTTCAATCTAAGGTTACCAGGGAGTGCTTGTTTGCGTTTCAATACTCAAAACGGTCTTAGGGAAGACAATGCGACCATACCAACCTACGGTCGTATCTGACCGGAAGTAGGACCTAGCGACCAGTACCGCTATATTTTTCCCCTAGCAGGCCTAGGCCTAGACTAGGTCTAGTAGATTTGCTTGTTAATGTTAATTTTAGTGTCGGTGATGATTGGAATAATACAGGTCCCCCTCCAATCTAAGATCACTTTTGGGACTTGGGTTTTCATGTTCTTTAGCAGCTTCGGTCTCTAATAAAAAGATGACATTAGGCCTAAATGTCTATTGTTTATATGGGACCACAGAAAAGTGGTCTTTATTTAATTGGAGGTGGTCTTTAATTAGAGGGAGACCAATCCAAGTAAACTTTTTTGAACGTCGTGCTCTATTGTCAATGCCATTACTGGGGTGGCATTTCCGAAGTGGAAAGATGTCTGAATATACACACACAAATGTACATAACTTTGATAAATTTTTTAGTTTGAAGACTGTGGCATTATTCAGCTGCAAAATAAAAAGCCGGATTTCTCAATGGTCTAGGTGTAGGGACTCCCCATTAATGGCATCGACAACAGAGGGCGCCATTCTAAAGGTAAATGTAAAGGTAGGAAAATAACCCATAACGTCACTGTGCTGAATTGCGTATGGGCGTGGTCCGTGACTACCTAGCAGCCGTAAAGAGGTGCTTCTTGGTAGATACATGTTTACATCATTCCACAACGACAGGGGGTGAAATGAACCATAACATCTGGGTAATCCCCTACTCTTCTGAAAGATGCAACAGGTTCTTTAAAGTGCACATGAGCCAGATGTATACACTAGACCTCCATTTTAGGTCCTTATCCGAGAAGACTTGGTTCTACCAACCGAACCATGGGCGAGGAGCGGCTGGAACCAGCGCCGATGTTAAGGCTGCAGCTAGCGGCACCCCTGCCTTACCGCTCGGCCTCTCGACTCAACAATTTCAAATATCCAGGGCCCAAATATGCACATCAAGTTAGGTCAACACAAAGATAGTACTTTACTATTGAAGTCAACATCTATAGAGCTCAGAAACATTTTTCTAGGGTAATTTTCATCTAATTGGAAGTGAATTTTAAATATTTTGGCGGATCATCCTAGTATAGAAGAGAAAGAGAGTAAAGTAATGAATGGGCGTCGAAGGCCCATGACTATACCTCCCATGGAGTATTTTGAGGCCACATGGTTTGCAGATTCTAAGGCCCTGAGCTTAAATACTGTACCTAGTGTTATGCCACTGAAATAATGAGTTCAACCCTGAGCCTAAATTTAGAAAGCCAATGGCTCTGACAACATTTGCTTGCTATGTTGATAGATTATACCCAACATCAGTATTCTACTAATTTGTCTTTTGACTTCAGAGATGGCATCCAGAGGAGTTGTGTCTGGGAATGTAGCTGGAGGTGGACGAAGGCGTAGACGACGTGACAGAGGGAAGGTTTGTTAACATTATTTATATTTCTGTAGTGTTATCAGATACTTTTACTGTATTCTTATACCCAATTCACACGTAGGCAGGTAGAGGCGCCAGTGGGGGACAGGGAGGGCATTTGCTCCACGTTGGGCACTACTGAACCCCCCCCATCATCCAATGCCACGCCAAAGTTGTCCGATCAAAAATTTTAAAAAATTATAATTTCTCATCCGGATAATGTTATTTTGATTGCCAATCCCGAGTTTTGTAGTATAAAAGCACAATTTGGACCATACTAAGCTGGATAACAACTTTCCCTGTGAAACCCAACTAGGGATTTTTTATTCCGGGGGTAGGACTGAGGTTCTAATTGGTCCCCTGGTTCAGATCCCCCATCTGACATGTCGTACAACTTGTCTTCAAATTTCGGAAGCCACCGCTGACGTAGACAAATTTGAAAATGTAAAAGTTTTAAATATATTCTCCCGAGGTATTAGTACAGATAAAATCATTTTCACATGCAACCATATGATGTAATATCTATATGATGAGGATTCTTCTCATCATGAGTCGAAGGTTGTCCCTGATCAAATACAGTACCTATTACATTCCTATTTTTACTCAAAACTATGTCCAGAGCTTGGTATAATAATTATTCAATAAAAACCTGTGATAGGTCTACCTTTCCCTCTCTGGGACCTACTGCAGTATGCAGCTCTGTAATGTGCCTGCTTGTGAATAAGCACAGCTTTTACTTTAGGTAAGTTCCATATTTTAGACTATGCTTTATCTGGTTAGTGGAACAATTACGCTATCAGTAACTTTTTGTTGTAGGCTCAAGAAGGTACCCGGGATGTGGAAGTATCTGAAGGTGGTGTACATAGTGGAGGCTCATCACAGACTGGTATGGGCATTGGTTTTGGTACTAAGCAAAAGCCTATACAATTCCTAACAAAACCAGGAAATGGCAAGGTAAAAAAATTGATTTTAATGTTAAAAAAGATATTAAAATCTGATTGAATAGCCCATTCTCTTCTTTAGAAAAACTTCATTTTCTTTTTGAATCTCTAGATGATTAAAAAAAAAAAAAAACAACCTGGGAGACATTCAAAGGCATGTTTTTTTGTCGGTCTAATAATTTTGGAAAAACGTTTGGTTCAAGAAGGAAACAAATTTATTTACATTTTTTCATAGATGAAAGAAAACCTGGAATCATCTACTCTACCTGATCCAAAACCAACACCTACTATCATTATTAAACCACGAGAAAGAGACACAGGCCAACAAAATGAACCAAGCAGAAGGATAAGTACAAGCACAACCAATGGTGCTATGAAACCGATTGTATATGGAACACCGCCCTCAATGGATATGGTTCGGGTACTAGGTGCCACTGGATCAACCCACCCACCTGGAATTGCCAGTCATAGGGCAACAAATACATCTGTCAACATAGCCATAGAAGGTGAGATAGAAACAGCCTTTAGATTCAATATTGTCAGTTACTCAGCAGTTGCAGGTAATATCTCTCTGGTTTTACTTTCAGAGGATTACACAGAATAAAATAATATGTATACTTTATGTAATTATAAAAAATATGTGCCCAGTGGGAGCGTGCTTCTACTGTTTGACATTTTTTTTTTTCGCTACTTTTTAGTTACTATGCAAATGCAATAGGAACTATTGTAATCACTCTTGCTATTTCCTATGTTTTTTATTGTGTGTAGTGTGTGAGTGTGTGTGTAGACATTTACGCAAATGCGCATGCGTCAAAGAAAAGTTTTCCGACATTTTGTTTTACATCGCGATGCAAAGATCGATGTGAAGTTTCTGCAGAGTTCAGTCAGGGCTCACGCTAACCGACCGGAATGTCGGCATGGATGAAACTA